ACACAAGCTAACAATGAACTGACTGCCACATGCTTTTATGACACGGCTCTTTAAATAAAATGCCAAGGATAAAGCCACTCAAATTAAATGACAGTTTCATATATAAAATACAGTTTCCCATATTGGTTTTATTGATTATTCACCATTTCTTAAGGATAGTGAAGCCATACAGCCTGACTATACTGTAAGATTCCAGCTTTCAATTGTTTAATCATGGCACTAGAAATATCTACGTTTCTGCAGCAATAACTTCCATCTGAAGGTCAAAATAATTCTGTAAAGCCAGCATAACAGTATGGCTCTAAAGAATATAAATCACCACATTAGAAGAGATACAATTTAATAATTCACCCTTTTAGGAATGTCTCTGCATTTTCAACTGATTAGAAGGGCTCTTCCATCCACGAGGATATAAAGGGCCAAGCATCCCTAAATGGAAGCAATCTTTAAAAGCCGCACCTCCCAGCTGGGTTCACACGTGTCCCCAATTTAAAATGCCCAAACTACTTTGTTGATGTGGACTTACACCCTGCACCCACGCTGGGCTCAGTGTTTCTGTAAAAGCTGCTAAATTCAACTGTCAGAAACACACCTGCTTCTTACTAAGCATGCAGTGTTTATATGATGTTGCTCTGTTCTTCCTTCTTCCATTAACAAATGTTCCATCTCCTCAAAAGGTGGAAGTGCGCACCAAGCAGCTGCATTATTCACAAATATGAAAAGGTAATTGAGGATATTTATTGTTACATGAATAAATAATAAAAATGAAAAGATGCCGTAGTAAAAATGCTGGCAGAGTGGTTCTGGCCGAGGTAAAGCTGACCAACCGTGAGAACCACAAGAGCTAAAATTAGGTAAAGTGACATCGGAGGGCATGGTTACCATGACAGCAAGCCAGCCTGAGGGTGTTGTTGCTGAGATACAACAACAAGCCAAATCCAAGTTGATACTGAACTGCAACAATATCTAAGTATGCTGTAAGAGTGAATATTACTACTAAGAGATACTAGTAAAATGACCCCGCATCAACAAGTGGTGGGCTTTATTTTTTTTAAGCTCTCGCTGGATATTCAGCACATTCAAGCTCCCTCAAACATTGAATTCATCGGCCACGACAAAAACAATCTCCAACCCATCCCACCAGCACAGCACGTTCCTCTCCCATATGTTGTCTCCATGGGCAACCAAGCAGCCAATCTGCCACGGCCCCTGAGACTTCCCCTTCCGACTTCCGCCTTATCCTTTCAGAGCGCTGATGAATTGAAGTGTATGCTCGGATTATGTGCCATTTTACCAATATATAAGCAACATATTTGTGTTTGTGCAAGGGTGGTTGAGTTTATGCATATGTGTGTTCCTCCACACATGTGTAATCATAGCTAATCAATAGAGGCCTGTATGCAGCAGCCTCCTCCTCCTCCTCCTCCTCAGTGGACCTGTTGATGCTGGGAAACAGGGGGGCTGTTGTACAACTGGGTGGCCGCATAAATGTGGCACTCATCTAATATGCACCGCAGCACTGCCTGCCAACACACTTCCTCATTGAAATTCTGATTAAATAAGGCTAGTCTGGCCAGTGTGCAATCTGAAAACTATTTAATTATACCTTTTTTGCTTCCTCTGGTTTAAACAGCTACCTTGGCTTTTAAGTTAAGATAAATGAATGCCCCAACAGACAGCCTCACATTCAGAAAGGTCTCATTGGTGGGTGTTGTATATTGTGCCGTTATATTTGAATGGCGTATTCATAAACAAGACAGGCATATTACATGTGATAGATTCTTACACAAAGTAAATCAAGAATGTTTTGTTGTTTATACATTGCCTACCATACAGTTTCCTTTTTGAGCGGAGAGGATTCGTAAAGTAGGAAATAAAAGTAACAAATAAATACAATTCCTCACTTCTTGCGCTTCTGTTCAGGTGTGCCATTATCTCCCTGATATTGGATCCCTCTTTCTCTCTATAAAATCACGAAAAGGTGAGTGCACGGCCTATCACCATTCAATCACCGGTCTATCACACAGCTCCATCCTGTAGTGAATAATTTAGTGACAGAAAATGATGGACCATTTCAATACGTCTGCGGCTGGCTTAGTGCTCTGAGTGATGGCGATTCTTAATCAAAATGACCCTGATGACATTTCTGTGTAATTGATTTCTTTGCCAACCAACCGCAGTGTTATATTAATGACCACATATGACTTCTGAGTAATGATGTGTCCGTCAACCTATTCAAATAAGTATGTAGGCCGGTGTTAATCACACAGTTTCCAGACTATACAAAGGTAGGGTTAGCAATGTCATTGCTCATTTAAATGGAAAAAACCCTCTAAAACCCAGGATGTCAATCACTAGCGAGGCAAAAACAAACATTTATATTCAAAGCTTGGTCAATGCGATCAGCAGCTGCTTCCATGTCACTGCTGCACCCAGATCCTTGTCAGCCAGTCCAAAGAGTTCATCCAGGGACTTTCTTTCACCAATCCATGATTAGATTGCCATATATTTGTGTCTCTAACAGGTCACACACACACAATGACATTGATAGATATTGTAAAACAGAGTGCAGTTACAGCTTGTGCATGTAATGAGCCAAAAAAGGTAGCAATCCCCTGATAAGAGGTAAAGACAAAGGCAGCCAACGTGTGTAAACAAAGCTAGTTTCAAAGCATCCACACAAGCCATTGCAAATGTTTTACGAAGTAGAAAATATATTCAACGCGTTTGTTAGATTCTTAGAAGACACACAATGAGTTTTGAAAGAATGTTGAATGTATAACAAAAACTGTTTGCCAATAAGACTCTGCAGGGTACAATGAAGAAGGCCTCTTCTCCAAGTCTCAGGCCTCCTCTCATTATGTTTACCCAGTCAACCAACACATGAGCACACAGAAGTGCGTAGACTGAAGTTTGAAACATTTGACAGACGGTGTATATAATCGTCTGTTGTAAACTTTCCTCGACACTTCTCAAATCATTATTCACAATTAGTTAGATGCAGCCTCGATGGGGCACTTTATGCCAAAGTGTTTATATTTCTCATAAGTCTGTTGGTCAAGTGCCAATAAGACATTAGCTCGAGGATGAAGTACTAGCAGAAATCTGTCTGATACGTGTGCCCGCTCAAGGAGATGATTTGGCTGACATAAATCAAATTTTCTCCAATATAGAGACAAGCAGAGTGGAAATTTGACAAATTGTCATTTCATATTCAAATAAGGCAGGACTCAGGCCAAAAATGAAATTACATTATTCCTACCTGCCCCACCTCAGTGCTAAGAATCAATGAAGGTTTTTGTGTGAAGAGAATACCGCCAGACTGATATGAATATTTACACACTTCATAGAGCCCCATTTTCAGTAATGGCTACATCTCACTTAGAAACCCTTGGTGCGAGAGGGGGACATGTTATTCATAAGAGGTTAAGTGAGTTGACCTGCTCAGATGCCTGCTAAATGGAAGACAGTCAATTAGACACACAGACCAGCAAAGTACAGCATAACAGCTTCCTTCCTAGGCAGACGGCCACAGCAGACTGGTCACAAGGGCGGACTATTAGTGGAATCTTTAAAATGAGGAACACAGTGATATCGAAAATATAATTGTCCAAAGGTCTCTGATTTCAGGGAAGGAAGAAGTCGTCATGCTCGTAGGCAAGTAACCGCAAAATTAGCAGGCAATAGCGAAATTGAAACAAAAGGACAAAGGCTAAAAAGTGCATCATTATAAGATATCTGCCTAAAAAGGAAGACTGAGAGGGACCATTCATTATATCAACTTCAGAGTCTGTATGTGTGATCTACAATATCATAACCACCCGTATAATATGGTCGCCGAAGGGGACAATTAGATACACTTCATGAATGTTAATGGTAATTTGCAGTAATACTGGTTGGTTTACATTTTTTGCCTAAATCCTGACAAACTCACAACTACTGTTACCAAATGCAACAGGACAGCGTTGCAGTCTTCAGCCAACAGTATGGTTTGGGACTCAACATAAAAAAATAACTAAATCTAGTCTGTTGCTTGGAAAAGTGCATCGTGTGTGTGTGTGTGAATGTGCGGTGTTCACTCTTCAAGGACATCATCAGATATCACTTTACACAGACAGCTGCAGGAGAAAGACTACACCACCATCCCATGTTGAATATGTAGTAGGTGATGGTACATCATCCAGCACCTATAACAGTATTCCTTTCATTTATAGTGGCTATTCCTGTCTGATACTCTGCATCAACCATGCTGTGCACAGTGACTGATCAAAATCAATCATTGGCAATAAGAAGCATTGCAGCAGCAGGTGGAAATCTGCCTCCCCTGTACTGCCCAACCCCGGATATTTTCCCAAGTCTGACTGGCATGCCTGTGACCTCTGAAGCCACCTTTATGAACAGCCCTTTGATTATTAATGTTGAAGGCGGGGGTCTGGCTTTCGACCTGGCCCGACACCGCGGTGCTCTTTACAGCCTGCATGGAGAAGGAAACTATTGTTAATTTCTGAGACACGCTGACTCTGTGCTACTTCTTCTGAGCGTATCCTCTCACATTACCCAGGGGAGAACAATCAGCATGAGTCAGTAGGGTACTTGTTCCAGGGACATATGTCATAAATCCATGCACCTAAGAAATAATTGAATTGTTTATATTTCCCTCGTTAGTTTTGGCATATCACAACTTTGATTTGTATACATTACATGTTATTATGTGGTCATATGGAATGGAATTGTCATGCTGTAAAGCATTATTATCTTAAAAGATGAAACCTTAATATTAATAATATCCTGCAGGAGCAAACTCTTCTCAGTGTTGACTTTATAGTCACTACATTAGACGTGTTCATAAAGGGGCTAATAAATGTTATTTTAAATATCTTCAAAGGCTGTTCGGCTACTTCATACCCATCCAGGTATAGAACAAAAGTTGTTTTACAAAGCCTGAAATTGTGTTAGATGAAATTAATAGATCATGTTTTGTTTTTTTAAATAAAGCCTACCTTTTCCATAGTTGAAGTGGAGTTTGATGGTCTTGCCCTGGTTGATGTGCAGGTAGGTGAACCACACGGCGGAGGTGAGCAGCACCAGCAGCAGCAGGAGCTTGAACTGCTTCCGGATCTTCTTCACGGGGAAGCGCAGCATCCTGGCTCAAACATCCTCCGGTAGCCGCCCGGTAGATAGTCAAAACGGTCTGCAAAGTCGGTGCGCTGTGTTTTTGTTTCTGGGTGTCCGAGTCTCTTCTGACTGTCTACCTCTCCCGGTCACAGCGACGGCATCCCAGCAGGCACGCTGCGAGTAAACAGGGAGTGTTAACTACAGCCTTGAAGCGCGTCTCATTCCCCCGGATCCACAGGGTGACATCAGCGCCAAATGTGTCGTATCCTCAGATCTGGGTCCAAACACCTCTGTGGCAGTCATTGCTTATGAATGCAACCCGGTTTCCCCCCTTTCCCTATGAATAGCGTGGCTTGTAAGCAGGCTTCCCTGCTGGAGTTTCCAGGAGGCAGCAGGGAAAAGGCTGCGGATCAAAAGCAGCTAAATTCAGTTGAGTGTGGCCGAGTGAACAAAATAAGCAGTCCGGTGATAATCTACACAAATCCCCAGAAGCTCAAGCCTTTGCTGACACCGCGACGCTGATTATTTTATCGGCTACTCAGGGATCATCCCCGGCCATGGGTTTAGCGCGAAGAAGCAAAGAGCAAGAGGAATATACTTTCCATGTGGAGGGGTGATCGGATAGAGCATCTCCACAGAGCTGATACACTTCCTCGCAGAACGACTTATACGGGTTGTTTGTCCAAAAGATTAAATACAATTAAAACGGCCTTCAGTGAAACGTGTCGCCGGTGTAACCTCTGGAGGAATGATCGGTGTGAAGCTAACCTGATAAGGAAAAGGTGTCAATCAAAACACACATCACAGCCTTCTGCGCTCCATCTATTGTTAAACACAGCTGAAACTGAGACTCTGGCTTCTGATCGGGGGGCAGTGGATTCAGATGGAGCGCGTTTTTATTTAAGTCCCGAGAGAGGAGGGGCGATCAGCTGTCATCCCCATACTCGGGTTGGTTTGAAGCCCCGCGATGAGTAAATAATAAACTGACGTAGATTAAAATCTGTGAATCCTCCATGGCGGTGAAACAGGCGAGTTTTTTGACCGAAATACTCAGATGTGATTGTCCGATGTACGATCCAGGGAGCAGATGCCCATGTGCTCCAGTGTCTCACGGCAGGTGCGTTTACACAAAATCTCCCAAAGTAGCCGCTTTGTCCGAGTCCACCGAGCGTGCATGAAAGATCCAAAGCAAATAACCGCGTCCGGATTAAACTAATAAACACTGATATGTGTCGCTAGCGGCGATGCACTGCCTTGTGTTGTTATTCTGTCATGAGCTTTTTTCCTTTTAAAACGCCGCAATAGCATCGTCCAACCCGCTTGTCACCGCGCGCAGGGAGAACAAACAGCTGAGCTCCAGGAAGAGTCTCGCGGACAAACCAGCAACACGCAGTGATGTAACCAGGACAGAACATGGTTTTTGTTTTGCTACAAAGAAACGCGTAAGGGTATCTCCTTTCAGTGCACAGCTCAGTAGTACGCCCATCAATTGAGCATCTTAACGGTGCGGAGCAACCTAACCTGGGCGGATGAAGAATGACAAATCCAGCGTCCAATTAAAACGCTGTAAAAGGTTCAGAGGAGGCGGGATGACAACGCTTGCCCTCACCGTTGCTTGGTAGTACTGGTGTGATCCATCATCCAATAGCCGAAGCCTGAAACTTGTTAAGCTCTCCCATTGTCCCCATCATTTAAGTATACTAATTCGATAAACAATGATTATTCGTTTTTCAGGCAATGGAAATGCAATGACACTAAAGTAATAGGATATGGAGAAATACTCGCTTTGTGTCAGGATTCAGGCACCCATCTAAACACTTAGGCACACTTATTAAAATAATTGTTATTAAAACAATCATTCCTCATAGTAGATGAGGAAATATCATGTTGATATTTGTATTTGTTTGGGGAAAAAAATTAAATAGATTCCTTTAACTAAACCGAACGGATTGCCAGTTTTTTCATTGTAGTGTCAAAGATATTTAAAATCGCTTTTGAAACAATTAATTTAGTCTGATATTTAAAGAAAATGTTAAGATTATTCTTTAAATGTATCATTTCTATTTGGCTTGAATAAGATTCCTTATAGTGGCTTACACAGCTCGTTACAAAGGAATTGCACATAATGTAGCCTGCATACTGTGTGATGACACCCTGCAGACGCACCATGCGCACTTGGCTGCCACCGTCTGGTCAATGATAAAAGACCAATGATTACTGTACATGAAGGCAACAAGAGTCTTTAGTCTTCATTACAAATAAGCAAAGTGGATTGTGTTCTATTTTTTTGAGAGGAAATTCTCGGGTAGAGAAATGTTGTAACTTCACATTTATCAACATTTACTTTTTCAAGATTTACAATACTATGTAGTCTAGTCATGTTAATGTACTTTTTAGTAACAGATTGATTAAATTGGCCTTTTTAACATTTGGACATGTCACAGCAGGAAAACAACAGGTGGAACTAATCTTTAATGATAGCTTCCCACCAGTACCCAGACACTGACATTGTTCATGTTATTAATTATACGTGTGAATTTTTTTTATTGAAAACCCACATTTTGGAAGTACTACCCACAATAAAGTGCATACAAGAAATGTTAGAGCTGCTCAAAGCCGTACTAAAGAAACATCTAAATTAATTATGGATGTGATGACACAATTACAGTTTGAAAAACACTATTGCTGTCTCTAAGTTTAAGTCACAGTATGAATAATGTTTGACAGTGTAAGTATTGTATCATCCGTTAGTATAAAATGGTTAAATATATTGATATATTTTTGAATTAGTGAACAAAAAATGTATGCGATACGATTAGTGTATACTGTATAGTTAGTGGGTGGTATGGAGAATAGGTATATTGAGAACAATAAAATATATACATTGTTCCACATTCGTGACAAGTGACATCAGATTTAACAAGAGATTGAGAAAGATTTCAACCATGTTCCGTCTACACAGACCTACGCAGTCCTGAGTGAGAAGAGGCAGATTAAGTATACCTTTGGGGTTGAGCTATGTGTGTTGGCTTTAATATAAAACGCAAGAACAGATTTTTTTTTAAAACATGATGTGTGAATGTAGAGTATCATTTGCTATAGGTTGACATGCATCAAACATGTGGTTTATCCCCAGTTAAATACAGGTCCAATCATCCCGCTAAAGCTATATAAGCTATTGATGCCATTGTGAATCCAGATGAAGGATCAAAGGACATGAAACCTGGATTTACAAGAATATGACCTCAATTTAGTTTGTCCCAGCTGTGCCTTCCCCATCGGTCAGACCACAAACCATAATCCTACGTCTCTGTGGATTAATAATGTAATCTTCAGAGCAAACACTACGCGTAAATGAAATGCTTAGGTATTCATCTGGGCCGTATTGAAATGAGTGCTTTGTAAACGACCTCAGCCAAACATCATTTTACGCTGAAACAAAAACTTCACAGCCTTCACCTTGCAGGGGCTGTTGCAGGGAAGACTGAAGGTATGTCATCACTCACGCCGGGTTTGAAAGTCATCAAATAGTTTCATGCATCGTTCTTTTTTCCTTCTCTTTTATGGTTGCAGGACATCTTCATTTGATGGCCTGATTCTTTTCCTTTTTATGTTTGGTCTTATGACTTGTAAGACTGAAGTCACAAAGAAGTTGTTTACTCAGTGAGTGCTCCAAGGGCAAATAAGCATCCAATGCACCTAAGGGACCTGCACACTTTTAACTCACATTAAAGCTAAAGTGCATATGGTCCAATGTATTGGTGAGATGCACAGGGAAGAATAAACTTGCTGGGATAATATTATCTGAATTTGTTTTATAGTCACCGTCTTTTTCCCGGTTGAAATTTACTTTGTGCTGTTTTCCCCTGTCTGTCTCCTCGGTCTTTCATGCCTTCAGTCACATTTGGCACCCATAGGAACAACCTGTGGGGGATGTTCATGCTTGAATGACCCCAGGAGGCAGTGTGCAGTGGGACGATATGGACAGAGGTGGGGACTGATAAAAGGGAAGGGGCGCTGCTGTGCTCTGGGGTCTTACAGAGACCGAGCCCTCAGGGAGGAGTCAGTGCCCGGCTCGCCGTGACAGGTGTCAAAGTGTGGCTGAAGTCATGATACCACTGAGCGCAGCCGAAGGGAAAGGCATCGCTCGGGACTCGGTATGCAGAGAGCATCATCTCAGAGTGTGATGGTGTTTGAATTTTGAACAGAGAAGATGTTATGCAGACAAGCAACAGAGGAGAGACTGACCTCAAATTGAGGCTGCCGCAGATTTGATAAGCACGTCATCTGATCTTGCAGCTTTTTAAGATTTCTCTCCTTTTACTAATCCAACATCTGCCTCGTCTGTCTATGTCTATATCTCTTGGCTGTCTGTATTTCCTTCAGCCTTCTTTAGTCTCTTTTCAAAGCATCATTCCTCAGACTGCTCCAACCTTCCCTTTTCCCAGGGAGCAGCAGCTCACAGACTTTGACATGAGGTCTGGGCTAAAATGTCACAGGGATTAAGGGGTTTCTGCCTCCTGCATCCCTCCAGATCAGTTCTGCCCATGCCCTCTGTGGCTGTGCCTCATCTTCCCCAAAACAGGTGTGGAGTGCCATTTATTTCTGCTCCGCTGTGCCCTATTGAATTTCCTACTGGGGAAATAAGAATCCTCCATGTTTACAGATGAGAAGGAATGAGGTGAAAAGAGAAGTGTAGATGCAGCAAGAGAAATTGAAAGGGAGCAAGGATCAGGGGAGAGGATGGGGAAGGAATGGCAGATGTGTTTTCAAATGTTTGGTAAAACGAGAACACGATTTGTCACCCACAAATTCAGGCAAATACTCAGTAGAGGTAGATTAGTTTTAAAAGTTGTATTTTTACAAGTTTGAGAAGTTGACTTTCATACTTTCTGCATTCAGGCCCTGCCCAACATCCCACACAGACACACCAAAGACAGACACATGCACTCCTCTGCAGCGGTTTCCTCCAAATACGGTTAGACACATCTAAAAATTAGATCTCTCCAGAGATGTTCAGCTCAGACGGAGCTTTTAACATCACATAAGCTACAGCTGCTGCTGTATTAAACAGCATTCTGCAGGGTTTTCTCTGACTGGCTCTTCAAAAAGTTTGAGCAACAATCCCACACACGCTCACCAGTCCACTTTTAAAAACCAGTTAAGCCCCATGCCCCCGGTACCGGTGGCATGACGCAACATCTTGCAAGAAACAGCGTCTGAGGGCTTCTATGAATGTGTCATACCCACTTAATGGGAAGAAACTCAGCTAACAGACAATATTAACAATTTTTAGCAAAACGAGACATAAGGGTAATAACAAAGGCTCTGAATTAGCCCTGAGCGAAAAAATGCTAAAGCAGTTAGCACAGAACTCAAGGTAAAATACCCGTATTACTTATCGGATCTGCACAAACAAGATATCAATTAGCAAGCTGATATTCCACAGATTCCAGACATATAAGTATCATCACTGAGCGACAGGGGAAGCGAAAACAGACATCACAACACGTAGCTTCACGGAGGAAACACGGAGATATTCTTACCTTAGCTGTTGTTCTGATCAAAAGTTGTGTTCAATGGCATTAAAACGATAAAAACGCTACTGAAGGTTAATCCAATGTGTCCATGTCACTTTGAAATGATTACTGACAATCCATCTCCATATTTAGTTTTCAGAGCGTAACATAGCTTTCGACTGCGTGCGCGTCACACTCACTCCTCGATGGTAACGTGTGTGTGTGTATGTGGAACTTCCCCTTCGATTCTATTGGCTCTAACGGTTCAAAAGAGATGTCAATCATCAAAATCGACCAATGGGTTCCAGAGAAACGGCAAATCCACCCAAATGTGGTTTTCATTTTTGCTAAACCTCTCTAAAAAGGTAAAATGTCACTTGTTTTGCATCAATCTTGATACAGGGTACTTATATGTTATATGGGAATGTCATTTTCGAGCCTGAGGCCTGAAAAACAGGCTCGGGGCTTAACTGGTTAACCTTTTGCAGATCTGCAGTGGGATGTGTTATTTCTCAAAGATCTTGTCAGCGGTGTTGTTGGGCGTTGCCATAGTGAATTTAACAGCAAGCTATTCCAATCTAAACAGGTGAAGTGTTAACAGTGAACAACACAACAGTAAAAATAGCTCTGCTGCCAGTCCTATAGCTGTTACCATTTAAATTGTGACTGCTGCAGTTTTCTCAGCTATGGCATGTTTGTTATGAGGAAACTGTCAAAAGACATCACGCATATGATTTCTTTGCCATTTTCTAAAGGCATAGACTGCATTCATCATGAAGCTAGTGAAGAATCTCAAACAACTGAGTGAATATCCATGCTTGGCCTCTTTCTCAGTTTCAATGCTGACAGAGAAAAACAGCAGTGTCACTAAATAACATCTCCACCGACTCATTCATTA